CCCTAAGATACGGCCTGAGGAGAGCGATTACCGCCCCTCCGTCTACACTTTTGGTCGCCATGTGACCGCACGCTTGTGTGTATGTGGCGGGAACCGTGTGGCAGAGCAAGGATGAGTATGTACTTGTAAGAATAAACTTTAAAAGCCATATGGCATGCAAAAGCTGTATGCACTACTGACGTGGAATCGATGCTCGGGGTCAAAGAGTCAATCAAAGAGGACCCTTTGCAGTTCACTTATCATGTCGCAGTAGATATGTTGAAGAAGGCTTTAGTTTAGAGTATGTTCTTTGTCTTTTTTATTGCTTAACAAACACAATTTTATATCCTTTCTGTCAAGTTGAAGTGAATTTGGTGAAAGTATGCACAGCTTTGGGGGCACACATGCAAACAGCCTCCCTCTGGTGGACAAAAATGAGAAGGAGTGATCCTGAGCTCTGGACCTGTCCAGTACATTGAATAGATTTCCTCAAAAGATTGTTAAATTGTTGTTGGGGTTTTTTGTTTGTTTTTTTAGAATTCTGGCAATAATACAACACTTTTAAATCAGTTGTGTAGAACCAGGGAAACTGGCCCTGGGGGGCGACAGTTTGACATCCCTGGTCCACGTGAACACGTTTTCATAGAAATTTGTAATATAAGTACAACTATGTAAAAAAAGAAAGAAGACTCTCTTTAAAGTGTATCAGGGTGTGATTAAAGAAAATCATCTGGTCCAAATATGAGGCATTTAAATACAGGTTGAGGTTTGGACTTTGATCGAGCCATTTAAACTTGATCTTTTTTCCCTCATAGATTCTGCTGTAGATTTGCTGGTGTCCTTGGAAATATCATCATGTCACATGACCCAGTTTAATTGTCAGACAGATAGTCTTACATTTGACACTAAAATACTTTGTCACAGATTGAGGTCACCTTCACGTGTGCAAGATACCCATGGTCCTGCAGCTGAAAATAACCAGAACTATGCTTTACTTGTATTAGTTTTGGGTTCGGTTTAGTTTAAACCTGTGTTTTTAGCACTATGGCAAATTAATTTAACTTTTTACTCGTCCTTTAAAGGACTTCTTCTCAGAAGCCTTATGATTGCTACCCAGATTCATATGTATCCATTGAGCTGTATAATATAATTTGTTGATAAACACTGAATATCCACCTTTTTATTATTTCATTGCCGAGAACTTTAACATTTAGCATGCTAACTTGAGACCTGGAAATGTTCCTATAGCTTTATGAGCTTTGCACTATTGATTTTGTAGTAAGCTCACTGGTTCATCCATTCCTGAGAAGATTGTAAATTGTCTTGAATGATTCAGCTTGTAAAATACCCTTCTCACTGTAGAATGATGGAAATAGTTTGTGAAAGAACAGAAAATCACTGCTGATGTCTTTTTTTGGCATTGTGATCCATGTTGTTTTCTTTTTTAAAGTTGATACTTATCTTATTGTAAGACCTGGTACCGATCTGATTTTTTCCAGTCCACACATAAAGGAATCAAAGCAGCGTGTGCAAGATTTTTCACAACTTAAATTAAAAATTCATTAATCAAAAAGCCATTTAAAATAAAATTCAGCATGTCACTTTCTTAGCCCCTTAATGCTTTGTGACAATATCTTGTTAAATGATGAATGTAATTTTTACTAACAAGGTATAATCTGCGATTATGTTTGCAGCTACTGTTTAAATAAATCAGACTAGCCTGCCCAAAAATATTTTTTCTAGGCATTCATTTAACTATTTTTTTTTAAATACTGAAATAAATCTCTCATTTTTACATGTCCCTTTTTTCGTCAGAGAAGAAAAAGTCAAAATAGCAGAATGGACTAAACAGTTGTATAAGGAATTGCTTTGCAGAAGGACCCCAATCACCCGTCCTTATAATGAACTGTGGAAAGGTTACATGCCCTCTGTTGGCGCTCACTAATAAACCGTTTTTAAAAATCACAATACAGACAATGCGACACTTGATCAGAAGAAAATATTATAAATTATTTTTAGCTAACGTTGTTCACTAAATTCAATCAACTGCGTAACAGTTTAAACGAGTACCAGTACCCTGCTTTGCTGCGACAACTTCACAAGAGACGATCCGGATAGTTGTGACCGCTAGTAACCCCACTGACGTCTCCTCTGCCCCGAGCACGCGCCACCTCTGGACCTCCAATCGCTGGTGGAGAATCATTGTGACGTCAAGGAGTAGCTTCCGGGCTGACAGAGCTGGCCCGGTGATTCTCAGATTTACATTTTTATTTTTCGTTCTGTCACAAATTTTCAATTGTGAATACAATAAGTCCACGTGTTCGGGCTGTACCAATAACCCCCTCCCCCAACGGACCTGAGAACCAGATGAAAAATACTCAAATCCGGACTGTAGCGACTCCGGCATAGCGGTTGAGAAAAGAGGTGAGCATTTGTTGCGGTGTGTACGCTTTGCAGATGTTGCTGTGAGGGAACAATTGTAGGCGACCGGTTTTCTCCTCCGCGCGCCACACCGTTGTTAAAATGGCGTGTATTTGCTCATATTTATATATTATGGGTATTGCTGACTTAAATGCAGGGCCAATATGTTTCATTCAGCTTTCACTCCTCCAGCAGCCGGCGTAAACCACCGTGGTACTACTTAGCTTGAGGCTAAATGCTAGCTGTGCTAGTTTCTGTTGCGTCTTTGAATCCGCTAACTGCTAATCTTGGAGCTATCTCGACAATACCTTTGCTAAATGAAAAGAATGTCCCTGTGTAACCGTACTGCAGTAAAACTATGTATTTTATCTAAAATAACAGCGCAGGACATCGTAGACTAGTCAAAGATATTCGCGTGTAATAACGAACACCACACTGTTCTTGGTAGAGAAAACTAACGACCATGCTAATGGCAAATGGAAAATAAACACTTTTGAAAAGACATTCATCAGACTGTGTAAATTAGTTTGAAAATAATAAACAGTTTAGCATCGCCCTACTCTCAAAGTGTTAGTCATGTGCCGTCACGAGGAATACAAAGAATAGTATTTATCTGTTCTGTTGATGGTAGTAAGCCCTGTTGGCAGAAGTTTAACTGATAAGTGTTACTTCAGTGTCTTTAGAAATATCCTGCTAGAAGTAACATCATTTTATTACCAAAAATAGAGCATTAAAAAAACAAATTTGATCAATAGTTACGGTCGTCGAGGTGGTCAGTTTAAACCAAATGGTCACTTTACTTGGAGCTTACTCTTATGACTCATAGATATCACAATTTGTCAAATAAATAAAATGCATAGAAGTTATCCAAAGAGTAATACTGTGTGCAGTAAATCAAAGTATTATTAAATATCAAGTTATTAATGAAAACTGATTAAAACTGTTGTGTTTAAGGCTTTTATCAGAACATCACAATTTTTGTGATACTTTCTAGAATTATCTTTTTATGAATCCTTTTTTGAAGTGAAAAAAAACTATCATATTCACATTGTAATAAACTTTTAAAAAGGTGCTCTCAGTCATATGTGTTCTTAGCACTGGTATTAAAAATAGTTACTGTTGGAAAAAAAGGCTTGTCACTCTTTTAAGTGAGGGTTTATTTGTGCTTCTGTACAGCACAACCCAACAGAATATGGGTATCAACCAAGATGTAAAATACAAAATCCTCTCTAGCAGCAGAAATAGTACCTAGGAGAGCGCATAGGCACTTTATTCAAAGTAAGTAGAGTACATAGTGACCGAACCTGTATTACTAGCAGTGAAGAAACCCAGAGGGAGATTTAACAAACTATGTTGTGCCTGTAAAGTTGTTCTTTCTTTGTTTAACTTGGAAAAATACTGTTGGAATTGTCGGTTGGTCGATTAAGCTGGTGCCAAACAAGTGAGGCAGGTTCGTCCTGCGGGGCATTGTGTCTGTCAAGAGAAATGTTATCATAAAGCCAGTTGTGGTTTAGGGATGGAACTCCTCATCGGAAGCGACACCCAGAAAAGATCAGTTGAATTTGAACTATCAATTCAGCAGATGATGCTAAAGGCACCTTTGCAGTCCCTCGTTTCGGGGTGACATAATTAACACGCACACATGTTTTGAGTAGTGAACTCCATTGAGCCATTTTTGTGAAGAATAAAGAGGAAAAAAACATTGGCCTCTGCTGTGTAATGGATCCCTGGACCTGCAATCGAGCACGACACCCTGCAGAGCATGTGACCCATATTTGGTTTCTGGGTTGGCTGTCACTTTAACTTGACTTCCCTCTGGCTCGTCGTTTCTTGTAACCTGTGTTTCCCTGCGTGAGCAGCCCACCTCTGAGTTCCGTGTTAGATTCTTAGCAGAGCTGTCACTTCAGCGGGCCCGGGTGTGCAAACCTCCACCCGCGGGATGAGTCACTGCGGCCGGTTTCAGGGGGCCGGTAGCTGCATTGCAAATCACACTCTGTCCTTAAGCATCCCTCGCAAATAGCTGAGCTCCCAGGAAGATGATCAGAGCCGATCAGATGTTTTGTCGCACTTGTGCCAAAAATCTTAGACGAGATGAGTGCAGCACAAAACGTCGCTGAAAATAGTACCCAGTGGAAAAAAACAGAGAGAGGGCCATGCTGTGTTAAAGGGAGTTATTGCTTATTTTGCAGTCTGAATACTGACTCCATCACTGCATTAGGCTGTATTATGTGCAGTTTATTGAATTATTTTACAAATTGTTAAATGATGCAAGTATACCATTTTGTTTTTATCTTTCACATTTTTTTGCAGTTTTAAAACAGCCCAAATCAACACAGTTAATTCTTTATTCATTTAAAAGGATGGCAGTTAGTAGCTGGAGTTGCTCAGCTCCTACAAATGTATCGATGTAGCCTTGATCCAGACCTCTTACCACCTCCTCTGAAGTGTTATGTTGTTTTTCTTTCTTACAGGTCTGGTTGCTTTGGTGCCTTTGGCCTTGATCGTTTGCGCCCGGCCAAAATACAGAGAGTAGAGACCAGTGCACCGTGCTCTGGCTCATACGGTTTGATCAATCTCAAGCATTGACTTCATCCTCAAAGATGAAGTTGAAGGAGGATATGAACCCCCTGCTGCTGCAGGTTTTCCGCTCCGTGGTCTGGGTCTACTCTGTCATCACCTTCATTCCCTGGTACTTCTTCTCTGGGTCGGGCTCTAATTTGGAGCAGTCCCGCCGAATGAAGGCCCATTCCATCAGCAGACACCCAGCAGGACCTTACAGAGCCATCAACAGCCGAGAGAAGTTGGTGGCATGGCTGCATCCTGGCATAGAGACCCTGGACAAGATGTTTGAGCACGCCGCAAGAAGGTTCCCAAAGAGAGACTGCCTGGGCACCAGGATTTTACTCAGTGAGGAGGATGAAATCCAGCCAAACGGCAAGGTGTTCAAAAAGGTGAGACGTCGACATGTGTTCATCTCGTTTTATTGATTGTTTTAGTTTTCGGGTTCTCAAACGGATTCTGTGATTAAGAGCTTGGATTTGCTTTAATCTGGAGGAAAATAAACAGCTAGTCATGTCAGAATGATCGCCCTGCTGCTGCTTTTGGGGACATCTTGGTAACAGCAGTCTAACCTGGCTGGACCCCGTATAACAGGAAGTGCTGCAGTCTGAAAACAGCCACGTTGGAGGTGACTGAAAAATGGTTGGAACTTCAGCATTGACAGATTTTATCGTTAAATAAAGAAGGGAAAAAAATCCTCCATATTGTAAACACAGTACTGCAAGTTATTATTTTTTTAGCTTGATATTCAGTTAGATAGCAACGCAAGCGGCTGTGAGGAAAATTGTGACTCCATGAGAACGATAAATTCTGTATTGTCTGCAGCTTTTCATGAAATAAGCAGCAAACACAGAACTGAGAATCCTGAAAATCAATATAATGTGTTTTGTCATCTAAATAATACTCCATCCTTTCTTTTATGTAGTGATGTCAATGTTGTTGTTTTTTATCTATTGACTGCATTAACAGTAGTCCAAGGCCCACCTTTGAAAAGATTTCATGCTAGCAAGCTGTCATAACCTTTCAGAACGTCACCCTCACAAAAGACCTGGCTCTGTTTGGTTAACTGAGTAAACAAACAAACACAAAAAAAAAAAAAGATTTAGATGCCTTTGTGTAGCCGTATTGATAAGGCTGGAACCTCACAACCCCTCTGCTCACCAGCAGTTAAACACATTGACTCCGCAGTTCTGGGCTGCCCACTTTTGACAGCGTTGAACTCATTGACAGTGTTTTCAGTACTACTGGGGGGTTAGAATATAGATTCAAATGCACATCTTACATGGTAAAGTGTGCTGCTTTACTGACTGCTCAACGGCCAAACATATCCTGTAGATGGCAGTCACCCCCAGAGGGAGGAGGTTGTTTGACTGTCCGCTGCATGAACCACTTTCACACTGTTTTTTTGGCTTGTCCACTCCTCCTTTGTTGTATTTTATTATTACCTTTTGTCGTATCTTGGGTAAGTACTCATTTGTTCATAAATGTCCTGTTAAATGTAAACTGCTGCTGACAGGATCCTCTGAAACTACACGGGCCTGTTGATCAACGCTCCATGGGCACTTTCTATGTCGCTTGAGGCCATTTGTGTGCATAATCCTGATTACTTCCAACATCTGCGTGTCACGTGTAGGTCATTCTGGGGGACTATAACTGGCTCTCGTATGAGGAAGCCTACCATGCGGCAAAGTGCTTTGGCAGCGGGCTGGCAGCTCTCAATCAAAAGCCCCAGTGTAACATCGCCATCTTCTGCGAGACCAGAGCTGAGTGGCTCGTGGCAGCACAGGCCTGCTTCATGTACAATTTCCCACGTGAGTGACCGAGCGACCGGCAACGGTAAAATCCGAAATCCATCACCTGACGGGAAATAACAGACCTGATCTGCGTGGCCCTTTACAGTTGTCACCCTGTACGCCACTCTGGGGCCCAAGGCCATCGCTCACGGCCTGAACGAGACGGAGGTCACACACATCATCATAAGCAAAGAACTGCTTCAGAGCCGTCTGAAGGTACGCGTCCAGCTGTGCTGCTCCATCCACCGAATGAGTGTTTGTTCATCACGTGTTGCATGAGAGCTTGAAAAGAAGCTAACAGCAACTTTGCTTAACTGCCTTCTTCCTCGAACCCGTCCACGTCGAATCTCGCCTCCCCCAGGCGATACTGTGTGACGTGCCGAGGCTGCAGTACATCATTGTCGTGGACAGTAAACCCGCCAGCTGGCCGGACATCCCAAGGGGCATCAAGATCCACAACATGGACGCTGTGAAAGAGCTGGGATCCAAACCTGATAACAGTGAGTCCCGGCGCAGTGGGATTAAAACGGTTTCTAATTTTGTCGGGGACATTAGAGTACACTGATGGGTGCTTAACAGCCCGACGTGCAAGTGGAGTGTGTGACACAGTCATTCAATCACAAAATACTGAGTGTGTTGCATGAGTAATAATGGTCACCGACTTTTTAGGAGCGGGAGAGGAAACGTCACGTCGATCACTTAATCCACGCTTTATTTTTTTCCTATCATGAGGTTTTCTGAAATCTGAGCAGGCACTATTTGAGGACAATATGAACTAAAATAGAATTTAAGAAAACCTTGTTAATGGTTACAGAAGTTAAAACATTTTCAAGCGTGACTTTTTATTCCTGATATGAATTTAGTAATGATAATAACAATAATGTTGTGTGTGTGTGTGTGCCAACCCTTTGCTGTGCAGTCGAAGTGAGCCGCAGACAGCCGGAGCCTTCAGACATCGCAGTCATCATGTACACCAGCGGCTCCACAGGCATCCCAAAGGGTGTTATGATCTCCCATGGCAACATCATCGCTGGCATCACCGGCATGGCTGAGCGGATCCCTAACCTCAAGTACGCAGAAACCAGTCTCAGTGCTCATTCTCGGACGCTCCCTGTCTCTATTTTTTTCACGCTCCGGCTCTCAGTCTGCCCCGTGTGTGTGTGTGTGTGTGTTTTGCTGTTATTCCCCAACCATTCGTCACGACTGCGTGTTTCTGTGTTGCTTCAGTTTGTGTTCCTTAGTTTCTGCATTTAGTCAATGTGTGGACTTTCTGTGCCGGCAGTGAGACGGACACCTACATTGGTTACCTACCTCTGGCCCACGTGTTAGAGCTCAGCGCAGAGCTGGTGTGCATCTCTCATGGATGTCGCATCGGCTACTCCTCACCTCAGACTCTAGCCGACCAGGTCAGTGTGTAAATGGACGGAGAACCTTGGCATAAAATCATGTTTGTTTGTTTGTATTTTCCTTTCAAATTCATTTATCACTTGGATTATGGCCTGAAATCAGTCAGAGCTGACCAGAACTATTATATTTTCACAGTCCACCAAGATCAAGAAGGGCAGCAAAGGAGACACCAGTGTGCTGAAACCTACTCTCATGGCTGCTGTACCAGTGAGTCCTGTTAGCCAATCACAAAGCTGTTCGTCAGGTTTTAACGGTAACATTTCCTTGCGGGGTTTGACAAAAAGGCAGTTGAGTGTACTTTCGAAACCTGTGCAGGAAATCATGGATCGAATCTACAAGAACGTCATGACCAAAGTGGAGGAGATGAGCAAATTCCAGAAGAGCCTGTTTGTGCTGGCTTACAACTACAAGATGGAGCAGATCTCCAAGGGCTACAGCACACCTCTCTGTGACAGGTTAGGGCCTCTCTGCACCGACCGTTCCCACCAGCTGCTCCACTGACACACACAAGCTGACGTCTACCTCTTTCCCTTCACGGCTAACACGGCACAGATTCTTCCTGTCCTTACTAACGACCTACAGCAAAATGATCAGGGATGAATCGTTGGGCGTGTAATTAGCTGATCAGTGTTCGGGCGTCTGCTGCCTTTTCGGCTTTTAGTCTTACTCCATCTGGATAAAAGAACGACTTTCTGTCTGTTTTTCTTCTCAAGAACTTAGACTGAGAGTATCAATTCATCATGATTATGTCCTTCCCCTCCCCCCCATCCAGTCTAGTGTTCAAGCGGGTGCGGGCGCTCCTCGGAGGAAACACGCGGGTGCTGCTGTCCGGTGGAGCTCCGCTGTCGGCCGCCACACAGCGCTTCATGAACATCTGCCTGTGCTGCCCCGTGGGGCAGGGCTACGGCCTGACGGAGACCTGCGGGGCCGGCACCATCAGCGAGAGTAAGGGCGGGGGGGGGGTTCAGGTGGACCTCGCGGTAGGCCATGCGCATTTGCCGACACTAACCGCCTTCTCTCGACATTTCAGTGATGGACTACAGCACGGGCCGAGTCGGGGCTCCTTTGGTCTGCTCGGAAATCACGCTGAAAGACTGGGAAGAAGGTGAGCGGGGACGGCATCAGGTCCAGCACCCCCCAGGGAAGGCCGTCAAGAGATGGCATTAATCAGCACATTGTCCTCACCTTTAGGCGGATACTACAGCACAGACAAGCCAAACCCAAGAGGAGAAATTTTGATTGGCGGGCCCAATGTAGCAATGGGTTACTACAAAAGTGAAGGCAGGAACCACGAGGACTTCTTCGTGGACAAAAATGGCCAAAGATGGTTCTGCACCGGAGACATTGGAGAATTCCACTCCGACGGCTGCCTTAAGATCATCGGTAAGGAAGCCAGAAACTGACGTGTGTTTTTACCTCAGTCAGGAGTTTAAAGTGTTTTTCTGTCTGCAGACCGTAAGAAGGACCTGGTCAAACTGCAGGCAGGAGAATACGTCTCCCTCGGAAAAGTGGAGGCTGCTCTGAAGAACTGCTCGCTCATTGACAATATCTGTGCCTACGCCAACAGGTACGATCATTCACACTGTCCCCGTAGTTTCTCTATAGACTTGGAGAAAAGTGTTCACAAAGGTCTTTCCCCTCCTCTAGTGATCAGTCATACGTGATCTGCTTTGTGGTGCCCAACCACAAGCAGCTAATGGCATTGGCTGAGCAGATGGAGGTCAAAGGCACCTGGGAAGAGATCTGCAACACACCTCAGATGGAGAAAGAGGCCCTCCGCATCATTACTGAAGCCGCTATCTCAGGTATGGAGGGGGGAAAAAAGTTGTATCTTCATAGCACAGCATCGCTAACAGAACTTGGCGCTGGTGTGTGCTCGCATGCTTTGTGTAACACTCGTGGTATTGGATCTGAACCTAATTGTGGCTCTGCTCTCCAACCAGCCAAACTGGAGCGCTTTGAAATCCCCATAAAGATCCGTCTGAGCGCCGAAGCGTGGACCCCAGAGACGGGATTGGTAACCGACGCATTCAAACTGAAACGCAAGGAGCTCAAAACGCACTACCAAGAGGACATTGAGCGAATGTACGGTGGAAAATAGCACACAGATACACTCCAGGCAACACATGCAACATGGAACACAAGGAGCTCTAAGGTCACAAATAGGAGTACTTCAAAAGGAATTTAGACACAGGTATTATATTCATACTTTACTACAGACATAAAGAGAATCCTTAAGTTCCTCCTCAGCTTCTCGGCAACAGCTTTGATCAAAAAAAGGGGGGGGGGGATCTTGAAACACGCTTAATGCTTTCAGTCAAGACCAAGAGGCAGAAAGAGCCCTGATAGAAAAACTGAGCCAGCGAGGTGCGCACGCTGAAACTCCCTAACAAGCCCACTTCCATGGATGTAGCCCTTTTGTGTTGCCATGACTACCCAGGCGGCACATCAGATGGGACCTTTGCATGACTCCAACTGAAGCGAACGTTAGGCTAGACATATATATATATGAATCTATAGCAGCGCGCGCTCTCCTTTTGCTTCCTTCCCTCCTGCCCTGCTCTCAGCTGGTCACGGACAGGCGGGGTAGCACCTCCCTGACCGAGGAACCTCGGGCTCTTAGTATCTTTCAGGTTAGAATCTTTTGCAGGGATCTCTATTATCTTTTAACGTTTGTTTGTTTTTTTAAGAATTTTTTGTCTCTGTTGTAGTTTTCCCTTTGGTTTGTCACCTTTGGAACCCATTTGACAAGTCCTTTTTCTGTGTGATAAACCGGTGTTGCAAAGCCATGAGAGATTGAGCATTAAGACGTTTTAAAACACATTTGTACTGTTACTTAAAGGTGGATTTATTTCGAGGGGTTTTGTCTCTCTTTATGCTTTTTTTTGTATTCCCTTTTTGTTTATGCTAATTGTACTTTGATGAGCTAGCTTCCTTTTTTTTAAATGTCATTTTCTTCCTTCAAACTTTCTTTTTTCCCAAATTTTGCCCTTTGAGTGCATGTTTACTGATTTAAGTCGTCGGTCGCCCTTCCCGACTCCTATAGCAGGGTCAGACTTCATTATTAGAAGATGTCCATTTAGACTTTGCGTCCACTGCGACTTGTAGGTCCTTCGATGTACACTAAACCTGCCACATTAGCTCTGTGTTTCTCATGACCAATGCACGGTTCTGGATGTCCTCAAGGGAAGTTAGCTTGCTGTAGAAAAACAGTTCCATTACTTAGCCTTTCACTGATTTCTGTACCAGTTTACTCGTTGGTACAGCTTTAAAAATTTACCATAGATCTAGTCATTTCATTTTCGAGTCAGCTTTTATCTTGTTTTTTTTACATATGAATATGAAATACAAAATGAATGTGCAATATTTATACTCAAATTTTACATATGTAAGGAAGAAAGTAAAGCACAGGCAACAGTTCCTCTTGGGTGTTGTAATGTTTAAGCCTCCAGTGTCCCAGACGGAAGGCTCGTGGGAGAAGGCCGCAGAAATAATGATGAGGACGGTAGAGAGACACTGATAAAGACATTTTGACGTTGCCTGTTCTGAACATACTGTGCTAAAAGAAATTTAAACTGAAAACGCAACATTTGGCATTGTAGAAACTGCATGATGAAAAGCGTGCCGCCGTAACAAAGCACCTGAATAGAAGACAAAGGCGCACTCCAGGGGAGAAACTGAAGAGACTCTTAAAGGATACACTCCATTTTTGATAGAGTACATGGGAGTATTTAGTCAGTTCACCTCACAGAGTGCGGGTTACATTTCTGTATATTTAAACTGGTTGATGTGTATGATACTGTATGTGCAGTGTATATAAAAGGCTACAGTTCCAGCGGATTCTGTCACCTGCCGTTTCTTTTGATTGTCCATCAAACGTATATTATTACTCTAGGTTTCCACACGGGTGGCGATATCTAACAAACGGCAGTATTGCGAATTTTGTTTGCTTCTTCAGTATTTATTCCTCTGGAGGCTGAAGAAAAAAAAAGGCATTTGGTCTGTGGTCCTTTGTAAGTTGGACATCTTTTTGCTGCCACCTTTTTCTGAATGCAAACCCTCCCCTGCTTGTACTAACGGCACATGGAGCAAGGTACAGTCATGTGCCCGAACACAGGGGCTTATCCGATGTCCACTAGCTTCAGCTTGTAAAAGTTTGGCCACACTATAATGTATTTTGTCATAATACCCGTTGTCTCTTTTTCTAGAAAAGAAATTCAAATAAATGATCTGTTCTCTATTTCAGTGAAATGTCAGTACCTTACCTGTACTGTTTGCTGCTCTTTTTTTTTCTGTCTGCCTGGCAAGAGGCGGCTAGTTGCCTTCTGACACACACGAGGGGTCTTAAGAATGTGAAGGATTATTTTTTGTTTGACACAACTCTTCCCACGAAGAAACATTCATCCAAACTCACAGCAAAAGCAGAAGCAGTGGGCGCTGCAAAGACGAGTTCCACCCCTCTGCATATGTTCTCCTTCTTTGCAAATAAGCTGAAAGAGGTGAAGCTCAAAGATCAAAAGCGAGTTCAAACTCCTGATAACTGTACATTTGATATGTTTAATAATCTTTTGTTAACGACCGGTTCTGGGGATCTCTCCTTATTTTGTGTGGTGTTACGCGACCCTGCAAGCTGAGCTACGGCAAGTGTCTCTTTCCTTATTTATTTGTGATTTGGCCTTGAGAATTATGTACTGAAAATAAAGAAAGTTTGTGTTATTACGGCTGCTCGTGTTTGTGTTTCTGAACGTGTGTGTGTCTGTGTGTGTTTCGTAGATCGGTGATCTTTTAGGTCTAAAGTGCAGCTGACGATAAGCAGCTTGATTGGAATCATCCTGAAACTATGGTTTCTATGGCAACAAAGGCGAGTGAGACTCTAGGTGTACGTGTCTGAGAGTGTGTTTGTGAAGGGCTGTGTGGGGCTTTGACGCAAATGGAGTGCACAGTTCTGGGAGTCAACCTGCATTCAGAGCTGGTGAACAAAGGATTTTCTCTTTCCTTTCAAACATAGAGAGGTGGCATCTCACAACATCATCAGCACATATATTAAAGGAAGAAGCCTGGTTGTGTGCCAGGTGCTGCTATGTGAGAGAGCCTGGATTCATCATTTTAGGACAGCAATCATCAGGACTGTTTTCTTTTGAAAATGATATTCAACTGTAAAATAAAAAAAGACATTATGAATAAAGTTGATTATTGGTTATATGACTCATTTTCTGGCTATCAACTCAATAAGGATGTTGTAAATATTTTCTTGTGAATCATTTTGTTTCTGCTATGGGTTCGTCTGGCTTGCTGGCCCTGTCTGCATTTCAGTGGAAGAATAAATAAAAAACAAGCCCTCAGAGACTCAAGAGCAATTTCTCAAATCCCTCCGCATGACTTTGGCCATTCAATCCTTTGGGGTGAGTCAGTGAGTCACAGGCGTAATACTCTCTTCATTAGTCCTCTGATTCTGATGTGCACACACAGGAAGGAGGGAATCGACCTCAAACATCAACTGCGGTGTATTATCTTGTCTCTATCTTTCTCCTCCAACTCATTTTCCCTCTCCTGCTGCTGCGTTTGGCTCACTCGCCCTGTCTAGTTATGACTCAGAGGTGCGCAAAAAAACTTTTTTTGTCTGTGTATGTGTGCGCGCACACCCCTGCTCAAGTCAACGCCAGACTGAGGCTTACACAGGGATGAGCTTAGCTGGACCTGGGCTGCCTCATAACTTCAGAGAGGTGGTGGGTGGTGTCTGGAGAGGAAGTGAGAAATATTATATCTTTGGCAGAGTCATGGTGGCAAACAAGTATGAGGACTTAGCAAAAGATTTTTCATATGTATTAGGGAACTCAGCGGAGAGACTGTGAGCTCCATTCTGATGAAAGAAAAAAGGCAACTTCTTCTTTACCAATCAAACATCAAGAACTTTCCTGGGATAAAGTTTTTAATTCATACTATTGGCTTAACTGTTCAATCATAAAACCTAAATCTAACAGAGCAATGATAGGCTCATACTATATAAGATTTCTATATTTGTCAATGTACAAATGTTTGCACACTCCACCCCCTTTGATTAAAGGGACCAAATAGAAGTCTCTTTGGTTTCTAGAAAAACATAATGACATTTATTATTACATTATACTGCTTTGACATAATTTGTTTCTCCTGGATGTACATGTTCTTTTGCCACTCGGAATTGTAATAGGCTACTCATTATTAGGATAATAGTTACCTTAAATAGCTATATATTTTTATTCAAATATATTTGGACACTAGTGTAAATATCTAATTATATAACACAACTTGAATGCTCTCTTTGGTTGAGAGTGTTTTGTGATCTTGTTTTTCTGGGCGTGTGATGTGTCAGGCCGACCTCTGGCTGCACGGCGCTTGGCACCGGCTTTGCTCGCCATTTGGCTCGTCATCATTCGAGGGGTCAAGTGAGAGATGGGAATGCATGTGGGGTCCGGTAATGAGCTTGAGCGGAGAAAGCCAGGCGGTGAGGCCGAGAATGGGGGGGGGGGGGGGAAGAGGGGGGGGGGGGGGGGGGGGGGGGGGCAACCGAAACGTCGGGGGGAGGACTCACTGATGCGGGGTATTTATAGCATCAGGGGGGAGGAGGGAGGGGAAGGGAGGGGAGAGAGGGAGGGAGAGAGGGAGAGAGGGAGGGGAGGCGTGGGGGTGGAGGAGCGAGGGGTCAAGCTGTTTGAGAGGCGGCCAGGATGGCATCGTGACAGGATGACAGGGAGTGGTGCAAGGGAAAAAAGGGGGATGAAGAAAAGGCACAGAAAGAGAGAAGCAGTGGGAGGGGACAAAGCATGGGAGGTAGAAATAAAGTGGTGAATGGAGGTGGGGACGATGAATGAGACTGATGGAGACAGAAGAGGGTGAACAGCGAGGAGGAGAGGAGACGAAAATAGAAAACTTATTTAAAATTCTCATATTAACTTGAATGCTGTTTGCCTAACGGCAGGGACCACATCCCGTTAAATGTGATGTGCAAGAAAATAGGATACAGTGAACCGGGTGGAATATTGAAAGTGTCTCTGTTTTATTAGCGTCCACACATATCTTCTGACTCATATTTACAAAAACACACGCCTCTCTGCTGCCTCACATTCGCACACGCAGCATCTGTAGAAGAGGACAGGAAGAGATAACACATTTTAATGAGCATAAAAACCACCGCTGTTGCCAAGATACTGAGAATAAAAAGAGGAGAATTTCTTTGCTTTAGTGTGTACCAAACATAATTAGATATGGCAATGTGTCACAGTGATAAAATTGCTCCGTGTTGACTACATGTACTGTTTACATCTGGTCGGTTTATCTATTTATTTATTCATTTATTTATCTATCATTCTCTTCATTAAGAATTCTTAATCGATGAACATCCTGCTTTAGCTTCTGGTGACGTCAGCCAGTGCGTCATGCTGGATCTCTTACCACACACACTGATACGATCTTTGCATGTGTGCACAAACACATGTGCACACAAGAGAAAAGAAGCCCCACGCACACACAGAGCATCAGACTGTCCAGAGGGGATGATTCAGAACACTCACTTCCATTAATACGAGCTGGGCAATAAAAAGCAAGGGGGGTTTTGAAAGCTAAAACTAATGAGCAGAAAAAGCCAAACCGAGGCTGACAGGTTAGTGGGAGGCTGTGTGCGAAAAGGGCGGCGAAGAAGATTGGGGATAGATGAACAGTAGTGATATAAATTGGAAGATGGCTGCTGATGTGATATTGAAAGTGGAAATCAGGCTTGTGACAGACAGACAGATAGGAAGGTCCATGTGACTGAGAAAATAAGCAAATGTATCTGAATGAGCTGAGGAGTGGAGTTGGAAAATAAAGTGCAAAGCCTAATGTTGATGGGCAGGAGCTTAATGTCTTTATGTTAAAACTTTAAAAATCCATTACAAACATAGCTGGCTGTTTTAAATGTAAACATGTTTCTCCACCACACGCCTTGTCTGTGATCAAAGGGGATAAAACTGAGACAGTGATTGAGAATATAAGAGATATGTATTTCTTGTAAATATCTATTTATTTATTGGTCAATAGCTGCAGGAGTTATAGAAGAATAAGCTCAGCAGAAATCTCATGTATTCCCATAAATGTATTAAATGCTGTTAGAACCTGAGCTCCAGTAGCTTAGTCGAGACAGACAGATTTAAAGGTCTATGACTTTAATAAGCTGAATAGAAAATCACACTGGTATGATTATTTTTATCATTTGAATAATCATTTTTTTCACTTTTAATACAAGGAACCAGAATATGAGCTCTTGTAAAGGATGAAGGAGGGGGGGCTTGGCTGTTGAAGCTCGTCTCATTGCAGCTCCTGAACCATCTGAAACCCAAAGACACAGACCACCCATCACTCACAGTAATTGGCTAAAAGCAAGGAACGAGCCTGATGGGTACAACAGAGGTTCAAAAAAATGTTTTAAAGGTATCAGGAAAGTGGTTAGTTTAAGAAGCAAAACATGATAAAGGATACTGACCTGTGGGAAGATATGAAGTTGGAGGCAGACGAAAGGCTGTGAGGCAGCATCACCATGGAGACGCTGGTTGAAAAGGAGGTGAGCCTTGACAACGGGCGTGCCACTCTTTGTACTCCCCTACCTCATGATGTGGGGATGTGAGCATAATAAACGCAAATAGATGGAGGCCAGAAGTGGCGAATGAATCTGTCTCTTTTGCTATCACACGGTGATGGTCATCGTTTTTTGTTTTGTGGTTTAATATCGTTTTTTCTAACAGCGTCATATTTCAACGCAGGGCCATCCAAGAACAAATCCCCGGGTGAAAACATTAGTGTTCTCTCCAACTCCTCAACTTCAACTGCTGGATGAGTCATGAGTCCTTGAGCGCATTAAAGGTACAAGCTCAGAACAACCTGTCAATGAAGCTCTGTGAGGCGGTTTGTGCTTTTTGTTCACTGGGAGAGTATTAGTCTCCGTCAATGTTGTGATCTTTGTTAGGAAAACAGAACATATATTTTCTCCTCAATGCTTATACAAATCTCATTGTAAACCAGCATGCCATGTAAATATAGATAGATAGTGTTTTTCATAACATTATCATTTCAATTTTAAGGTACCATCATTATTTACATTTTTTACCCATTACTTTTGTGAACCACTCATTCAAAACCAATATCAGATGTAGTCACTTAGCCGTCTCCTTAATTTCAAATCGTGTCGTGTCATTCTCATTTACAAACATCCATCTATCCATCCATCCATCCATTATCTTAACCGCTTATTCCCCAATGGGGTCGCGTGGGGGGGAACTGGAGCCTTTCCCAGTAGTCAGTGGGCGAGAGGCGGGGTAAACCCCGGACGGTCCGCCAGTCCATCGCAGGGCCGATTTACAGACAGTGAATGTTAATTAGATGAATGAGATTAGTTCAGGAGTCTGTGCTGCAAAAGCTGAGAGAACTGAGTCATTGTAAGCAATGAGTGTGGTCAAACCAAGAGGCTTTTCAACATCACAGATAAGACGCAGCATCACTTTAGAAACGTATCTGTTACAGATCTCTGCTGCTGTCTTGGTTGGAGAGTACCTCAAACACACAGCTCAGTCTGCGCATCAGTTATCACAACAGCACTCTTAGGAATGGTCGTGTTTCAGGTTGAAGACATTTATGCTTTTTACGCTGTAACTAAGATAACTCAAGCCCCATTCTGAAAAATGGTTGCCTTCCACAAAAACACATAGTCCCTAAATAGTTCAGTTTCTCTATGAACATGGGGACAATTTAAGATTATACTAGAAAGAGCTTTCCTGAGAAACAGGACTGAGAATGCAGCTCTGCTGAATGACTGGGAAAGAAGAAGCTGAACAATTAGAAAATATATGAAGGGTAGACGAGAAATAATGAGTGAAATGTCTTGAATTTTTGCAGAGTCGTTCCAAAGGGCAGATGTTTTTTCCCAACTGAACAGGACTTTTGGTTTTTAAAAGAGCAAAAGGGACATTTTAATGCAGAGATGAAAAGGTCTCATGAAAAAGGCTCAAAGGAATCATGACAACACTGATCGTAAATGTAAATAAGAAACACGGTTAGAGGAAAGATTTGAAGTGATCAGAAAACAGCTGAATTGGTTATTGTAAGAGGGAGGTCAAAGGAAGAGTAATAGTCATGAGTTACCAAATGGCATGCCAGTAGTCACAATATATCTTCATTTATTATTTAGGGAAGTTATCCTATATAAAAATGCAAGAAAGTTTAAAACAAAAAAAAAAGATTATGAAATTGAAAATTGATTAGAAGCTGGAAAAAAAATCCCCAAAATTAAACAAAAATCCAAAATCTAACATGGCATTTCAACTGAAAATAATATTTATAATGGACAAAAAACTGACAACAACATGCAAGGCCAAAAAAAACCTAATTTTTCTTGCCCGTGCATAGATGTTTGAGCTGTGACATTTGATCAAAATGGAAAATTATACGAAGTTAAAGTGAGAAAGAATTGACTTCGGATTGAATTGCTAGAATCTGTCACGTGTGGGGGAATGTCAAGTGTCTCGTCATGTCTTGATTACTTATTGTGTACACCTGGGGTTCCCCTCCCTTAGTGTTTAAATAGTCCTCGTTTCCCCTGTCCTGTGCCAGTGTGTTTTCGTCGTTTTAGTCTTTCTGTTTTCGTCCCCCCTTGCCACGTAAGGTTTTGATTTTTGCACTTTGCCATAGTCTTGTTTTTGTGCCATAGCCAAGTTTTGTCATAGCCTTGTTTTGCCACCGTCTTGATTAACCTTGTTTTGCCATACTTTATTTTTATACTTTTGCCACAGTTATGTTAAATCTTGCTTTGATACTTTGTTCATAGTTTTGTCACAGCCTTGTTTTGAACCATGTCTTCCATCCACTCATTTTGAGTGTGTTTTCTGTTCAAATAAACCCCTTGGAACAACCAATCTCCGCGACTGAGTCCTCCCCTAAGATCCATCCATCGTGACCGAACACACTGGGACAGGACAGGGGAAACGACGACTATTTAAACACATGAGGGAGGGGAACCCCAGGTGTACACAATAGGTAATCAAGACATGACGAGACACCTGACATTCCCCCACACGTGACAGAATCGTCCCTCTTCTCTGCATGAATCTCCATTGAAAGGCAGAAAGAAAAAGAATTTGGGTCGCAACAACTCAGGGAAAATGTTTTCTTTGTTTTTAACGACTGCAAAGATGACTCTGTACGGAACGACGCACACAGACAGCAGATCACAGACTCCCCGAGAGGAATCACAGATTCAGTCAGTGAATCTTTCTCCGGCAGCGGCCAGCTGAGATTTGGATTTAAAGAACTCTGATCCATCACTCTACACCAGCATAGTGCCTACGGGGGATGAAATAACACAATGATACGACAGGTAAACACCTAAACACGCGTGTGTGATATGCAGAGATCCTGAACACATCCATCTCACATGATTGATTCAAAGCCCTTATATTGGAAGAGGTTTGTCTAAATAAATATCACACCCCATTGGTGGACACTAGGTAGATTCGCTTTAGCTCTATGTAATAATACGTTTGCAATGTTTGAAAATTGATAATGTGTGGTGGTGTGTTTCACACTGCATGTAGCAAAAGGACACAATATCAGAATGAAAGAGCTCAAGCCGGGGAAATGTTGGCCTTTATGATATGTCACTGCTCTCACACTGTGAAGCATCCAACGCATTCACTGTGATCCCAACTCATTAATCACTGCCAATACAATGATAGGGAAGCTCATTTACATTTATTTTTGTCAGGCTCTGTGAGCTTTTTTTTTTCATTCAAGCTGTTTGGTGACACAGAGTGCATTCTACCATTTGTTTCATTATAAGGTGAGAAAATCCTGTTAAAGGAGCAGCACAGCAGCGAGGCGCTGCTCCACAGAGCCGAGTCTGTTTCTGGGTTAGGAGAGGGGCTGATAGACTACAAAATACAATAAAGGGAACGAAACGGCATCAAACTAAACCTTACCAGTCACTTAATGTGGGCATGTTCTCCTCTTGCTTTCAAAAGATGAATGCAGCTGAGATTGACTCAAACGAGTGAGCACGTAGCATCAGTTGCTCAGAGGAGTGAGGGGATTTAAAACCTGCCCATGTTTTGGCAGTGACAGTCTGTATACCAGCCTTTTGTTTTTAGTGGTTCGACGAACATGAAGGAATGAAAAGATGAAGGGATTCAAAATACATTTCTGAGAAGGGGACACACATACTGCATTTAGTGTCAGAAGATTTAGTTTCCCTTCAGTGGCTCTAAAGGAGATTTAGAAGCTTCTGTTATCTAACTTAGTATAACATGTTTGTAAGAACCTACATGGAGTGTTAATTAAATCTAAACAGAATTGTTGGATGTGAGGAAAAAATTATTAAATTGAATAATACTGACAGTAATTGTGAAGACTTTTTTGCAATAATGAAAAAGCTGAATGAGGAGTTTCACACCTTATATCTTTAACGTGGTGCAATTTCATCCTAATGTATAATACCAATGATATCAGTATATCATGGTCCTACAGCCACAAGTGTTAACGGATGTTGTGAAAGAAGCGCTTCATGCTGTTAGTTTTTGATCTCCCCACAAACTCTGTCCCCACCCACCTCTGACCTTTACCGGGCGGCTGGCTTGGCGTGGCCCCTTTATCTTGTCGACCTGCGGAATGCCTGCGCGTTGGCCCCCAGCCGACAGGAGGGTGTTTATTACCATCCCTGTCAGCGCAGAGGGAGGGAGGGGTGAAGTGGTGGGGGGGGGGGGGGGGGGGGGGGTGGAGAGAGAGAGGAAGGGATGTTGAACTGCGACAGCATCTCCGCGGTGTTTGAGCCTGTGAGTCATCGCTGGAGGGTTTAACTCCTGAGCTGCCAGGCTGAGGGCTTTGACTGTAAAACTACACGTTACAGCAGCGAGAGCAACAACAACAACAACAACAATAATGTAAATCTGTTTTAGACTATACAAATGGATTCAAACTAACTTCCATTTTTTTAACAACGGTGCATTCTCATACATTCTATATTACCGTGTTCCCAAACGTTTTAAATCTGCACCAAGGATAAGATTTTAATATTTCCCACTGCGTAATAAACTATCATTATAAACTTATTGCAAAGACAATCATGAGATCTCCTAAACAGAATGTTTACACGCATATGGCTTTGTTTCAAGCGTGTCTTCTCACTGGACACTCTTCGCTTTGGTCAGTGGCGTCATGTGCAACAAAGAGAACTATTCTTAATCCGGCAGGCTACTTGGTATGCCATATGAAAAACCTGAATCATTTATACGGACTTTTAAGGAGCAGCTATTGCGTGCGTGGTGTGATGACGCAGTGGTCAGGTGTTTCCTCATATAACAGGGGAGCTGTCCGAGTGCTGAAAACAGAAGAGAATCAGCATCGCTCCCAAGGAGATGCCAAACACCCTTACTGCTTTCTGAGCTTTATTACCTAAGGTAAATAACATCTATTGTCACATTTTTTTTAAAGATTGTGTTTTCCAATGTAACAGGCGGGGCAAATTCGGTTATGTTGATGAATAATTTTTCGCTTTTGTGCAACATGCTTTCGTAAATTTGAAAACAAAGCTCGTGAAGATGACGAACCGCTTCCTCTGTTGTCGATAAAGTGTTGTTTCTGAGTTCGAATAAGCTAGAAGACGGCGTTTATTCAGATTGTTTTTTGTTTGTTTTTATTGGGGGATTGTCGGGAACCGACGGGAGTGATGGGGATGCTGCGGTTGCCCGTAACAACGCAGGGAGTGACTCATCCAGTGATGTAAATGTATCTCCGCGCGCACAGCATCATATCGTTCAGTTTTCAGAGCGTAACTCCCTGAGAGCAAAACAGATCCCGGATCAAAACAGACACGTTCGCGCGCGCGGTGGTTACTTCTAGATTTTTAGTACGATTCTGATCGAGATTCTACAGTATATTTTAAAAATATTTGGGGAGAATAAACAAAAGCCTTATTTCTCGCTAATGTGTTTTCATCTTCTCGATTCGCAGGTAATAAATAGCCTATAATGCTGCATTTCCACCACAAGTTGCCCGCGGGGGGAGCCGTGGTCCTGCTCGCCTTCCTCCTCCATGGACACGCCGTGCAGAGCGCGTCTCTCCCCCGCCAGTACAGGCTCCGGGGCGGGGAGGGCGAGGGGCAGCCGGCCGCGTACGCCCCCAACTCCGACATGATCAAAGCCCTGGAGTACATCGAGAACCTGGAACAAAGAAACGGGGGGCGGCCGGAACCCGCGGATTACGACGAGGTGGACAAATTCCGGGTCCTGCTCCAGCTCGCCTCCCAGCAGAACGAGGGTCCCGGGGACCGCCAGCCCGCCCCCGGCGCGCCCAGGCAGGACGTAACCGCCGAGCAGCTGATGAAAGCCATGCTCAAGACTCTGCAGGACCAGGCCGGGAGGGACGCCAGGCTCAGCCCCGCCTCGGAGCGCAGGAACGACCGCCGGACGCACAGGCACCGCGCCAAAGACACCGAAGCTCCCGAGAGCCCACCGGCAGACTACGCCAACTTCCCCAGACCCCACAAGAAGTACCCGCTCATGTTTGAGGATGACGAGAACACCGACGCCTCCAAGCGCGCCACGGAAGACCTGGATGAGCAGTACACCCCCCAGAGCCTCGCCAACTTAAGATCCATCTTCGAGGAGCTCGGGAGGATGCCCGGAATCGCCGGCCAGAAGAGAGGCGTGTTCGGGGATGAAGATGACGAAGGAGAAGAGTTCAGTCCCAGAAATCAGGCTTACGAGGACGTGGCCGGGGGGGAAGAGTGGGTGCCCGTGGAGGAGAGGGAAGAGACGGAGGAGATGGTCAACGGGAGCCACGAAGAGATGGACAGGGCGATCAGTGACCAGGAGGAGTCCGAGCGCGAGGAGATGCAGCGCCGTGCCAGCCAGAACCAGGGGGAGGCCGACGACGACACCAAACTGGTAGACTACTACCTGCTGAAGGTCCTGGAGATGAGCGACCAGACGCAGAAGAGGGACGAGACTGGCGAGCAGAAAAAGAGACTGATCCGCCCCTCCATCGTGGATCCCCGGACACTGAAGGAGTTGCTGGAGCTCTCCCTCAAGCTGCACGTCCCCCCGCAGGACCTCATCGACATGCTGCTCACGGAGGAGCTCCGAAAGCTGCACCGCGACCCCCAGGCCTCGACGCGCTACCCGGCCGGCCAGACCCCCAAGATCCGGTACTTCAGCCGCAGGCTGCCGCTGAAGAGCAAGCCCGTCCCCGAAGACATGGACAGAGAGGACTTTTTAGACATAATCGGGGTGGAGACCATCAGCAACGAGTACCCCGTGGTGCAGAGACCCGCGAAGACCTCTTCGGCCACGGACAGAATCCAAGCGGCGTCCAGCCCCGTCGCGGGTCCGGTCAAAGTGCCCCCCCCTCCGTCCGGACGCAGGGAGAACCTGTTCCTGTCGGAGCTCAACAAGATGCCCCTGAAGCGCCAGGCCGACGCCGCGGACGATGACGACGACGACGGCGACGTGGAGGACGAGGTGACCACGTACCTGGCGGCCAAAATCCTGACAGAGTACCCCAACACCATCGCCAAGCGGGACACCCAGGCGCAGCTGAAGGGCCAGTTCCCCTACGAGCTGTACGAGCGCGCCATGAAGGACTACATGGAGCAGGCCGACGGCGAGAGAAGGCCGGTGGCCAAGAGGGAGGCCGAGGCGGCCGCGGAGGAGAAGGCGACCCCCGCAGAAACGGAGGGGAAGGAGGAGATGGCGCCCAAGACCTCCGCTCCACAGACCGAGAACGAGAAGGAGGAGGTGGAGGACCGTGAAAAAAACGTGGCCGGGATGTAGCCTGATCTCCCCCCCAAGACACATTGTTATGAATATAGTATTTATACCGTCTCAAAAATAAAGTTTGGTGGAGTGATCTAGTTTACAAATTTATATTATATGAACTATATCTGGTATCAATATCACCCTAACGAAAATTAACTATAGCAATCTTAGATGTAGAGTACAGTTTTAACAATGACAGTCCCTACTTGCTGCAAGAATATTATAGAAATATTTTAATCATACCACAGATGACTAAAGGGTGTAAGCAGAGAAGCAGGAGGTGGTCTCAAAGGGTGGACGTGAGCTCTCAGTTATCTTGATACACATTCAAATCAAACCAAATCTGACAAATTAAGATTGTGATGTTAATAAAGGTTTATTTACACTAAATGGAGTTTGTAAGCAGCCCTACCTTTTAAAAAATGTAATCAGCTGAGTGACGTTTAAAAAAAAAAGCTTATTTTTCATCGTGTCAGATCTATTCAACTGCATATGTGAATATAAGTATACATTTTGAAGTATAATTCGGACTGGGCTTTTGAAAACACAAGCGTACAGTGTCACGGGAGCGCCATACGGGATAATATGGGAGGTTTTCGTTAGGGCAGCGTCCTGGCCTGAGAGCGAGTGTTGTTGTGACTCGTGATATATTCAGGGTAAGTGGATTTAATGTTAAAATATGAATAATTATTTCCAAGTCTAAATATCGGACCGTCACCTGCCTTCTAACCCTTTCATACTGCGAAGCTCTGTGTTGTTGGCCAGTGGTTGTGCTATGTATGCTCATTTTTAAACCATTTTGTACATGTTCAACAATGTGTGATCGATCACAGATGAATAAAGCATCAGCGGTATTATTTTTCTCCTTGCCGAGTTGTGTTGCCTTATTGAACTCCCATGTAACCTCAGAGAATCAGGGTTTTCACCCTGAGACAGAACACCAGTCTGCAGAACTGGTTCAGTAGCTGTTTTCTTTGATTAGTTGCTTTTTGTGGAAACTATGGCAACAAAAAACTCAGGGGAGGCCATCTATCAAAATAAATATTTTAATCAAGACTTCATAAATTCCATGTTATGAAAAAAACAAAAACAAAAAGCAACCCCCACAGTTGTCTAGTGGGGGCGCCACACACCTCCACCAGAAAGCTGCTTCATATACCAGCAGTCCTACACATTCAAAGTTATACAGACGGAAAACTGGAAAAATCTGTGAAATTGTGTCATTGTGCTGGTGAGAAAGGTTGTTAAGACAAAAATGTGTGGTGAAATATAGCTGAAATATCAGAGCATTCAAACAATTAGACAGTTTTCAGTGGCATCATTCTCTTCAAATATATAAATAATACATGATTCAGATGTGAAGTCAACATTATAGAATTGAAAAAACCCTCCACTTATCTTTCAAACCACACCATCCCCCCCGATGCTCCTTATTCTAATGACATAACAGCAATCAGTGTAAAAAGGACCGTGACTCTCCTATTCTTCGGGCAGACAGCAAGCAGGCACTCCATATGCCATTTTCCCCTTTAAAAATACTCACTAGTACTACAACGTCTAAATTCACCTTCAGAAAAGTGTGTGACTGGTAAACAGTTCATCCACCTTGTGCATTCCTCGTTGGAGTTGTGTCCTTTTTTTCTCTCCTCCCAACAGTTAAAATGCAGGTTTGCTCATATACTCCTCCATGGTCTGAGAAAAAAGGTATACAAAAAAAAACAGGAGAGAAAAGAAGCAGGCCTTTAAAATAGATAGAACACCTAGTAATACATTGAATATTTACTGAACACATCTACACATGTCCTGTGGTGAAATGCTGAGCACACCAACACACGGCAGATAACTAACACAAGCAGAGCATCTAACCTGTCTGTCCATATTCAAGGTCATCCAAACAGCTCCACCTCATACCACTCACTGCTGTCATCCTGAAGCGATAATGGTCAAAATGAATGAGAGGCTACGCTGAACATAATCCAGCCCTAGATTAGAAGTGTTAGTCAGCCCTACCCCTAAAAGCACAGAACTACACACCCAGTTAAAGTACCGTACCACACAACAACACACCCAGTTATACTACCGTACCACACAGAGCTATAAGCTATGAGTATAGGGGGGGGGGCACAAGCCAAACACTAAGGTACCAGAATAATCTGTCTCCCACTCGCAATGCAGCTGGCTGAGGGAGAGACAGACAGGCACACACGAAAGGGAAGGACAAACAGAAACACAGGAATAAATCTAAAAAGAGAGCGAGGAAAAGCATGCATGTTCACTTTGGAGGAGGAGGAGCAACAGGGACTCGGCAGCACCGCTCATCCGGCTCCCTACTGGACACCAGCTAGCTCACATTCTTTCCCAATCTGAACTTCACACAGCATTTGGAGGGAAGTGCTACTGATGTGCAAAAATACTAAACACCAATGTGGATGCGATTCAAAAGCTCATCGACCACAAAAACATGTAATGACATCAAATCAAAAGGAGATTTGAAAACCTGTCACTAATGTTTCGGGTCCTCTGAACCATGTCGCATACCCACTCGTTGTGCATCTCACCACACGGCGTGCAAGTCTGTTTGCTGCGTTTTTTGTTCATAGGCGCGTGTGTGTGTGTGTTTGGATGTGATTCTCACCTCCTGTAACATATCTGAGGCTTCAATGGAGCGGTTCACAAGTTGTTTGGAGGTTTCTTGTATCTCCCCTCCCATTAAAAACTCATCCAGGATAAAATAGGCCTTCTCAAAGTTAAAGATAATGTCCAGCTCACACACCTGTGAGAAGGTACAACGTTCATTATTGTGGTTATCATCAAATGGAATGGAAAACAATGCAAAAGCACAGTTTGATTCAAACGGAACGGATCGCCTGATCGATCAATGATTGATTAAAGCAGTCGCAACATTTCAACATCGTGCTTCAAACTGTGGTTGTATTAAATGTGGGAGGTTGAATTACATTGCCAAAGTATTTGTCAAGAAGCTCCACATAGCGATGAATGACCTCCAGGCCTAACAGCTCATTCTCCTGGTTCTCCACAGCCAGGCAGAAATATAAGCTCGCATACCTGAAAAGACGTGGACACAGAGATGTTTCTAAAGTCATTATGTATCTACAAAGGACAGTTAAAAACTTAACCTTTGGTGAAAATGACAGTTATTCCCATTTCAGGCATTATGGACAATCACCTTTTGTAAATAATCTTTAGGTCTTTCCACTGCATGAAGTTGCAGGAGCGTGGTTTCCGAGCCAACACCAGGGTGGTCATGTCCCTGATGATCTTCTTCTTTTCGCGCTCGGACATGGGCGTGAACCACTTCTGCAGACGCAGCTTCCCCTGGCGACTGAAGAGGAGCAGGAAGCGCATCTGAAAAGCACAAGTGTCATCAGTGGAGAGCCTCATCGTGTGTAGGGGTGAAAGCTGCAATAACTACAAATGACCACAGTCAGTCACTCCAAGGGTCAGCATGAAACTTGACAGAAACACAAACGCGCACAGATTCACCCAGTCCTTTGCATACTCCTTAAAAACCATTTAATTCTCACTATCCAAACACAATGTTCCCAGATATGTATTCATATCAGTTTAATCTAATGTTTAAACATTTTTAACCTACAGAAACCCACAACTACTCCTTTATTTAACCAATTTTTTGTAATAACTAAAAGGTTGAGACACAAAGTATGCTTATAAATAACACACATATGTAGCACAAATTTGAAAAAATGTAATAAAAAAACAAATTATCCTTTCTCCCAATGGCTACAACGCTTTTTGGGATATAACCAAAAAAACGTTCTCAGAAGTGGAGGTTAGATGTCACCCATTTAATTGTTCTGCAACTGTCAATACAAAGAAAAAAATGTGAAAAAGGACAATAATGGTAATAATAATAACAATAATAATAATACCAACATTCATTGTAGACACGTGCGATTTCATCTTGTTAATTGGCCATTAAACATCACATAATGCTAATTCTACGTCTTAACATCAGAGGGTTAGTTCGATATTCGGACCCCGTTCAGCTATAATCGTTTGTGTGGGTATATTTAGAGATCTTACAGCTGCTGTTTTTCTGTTGTTGTTGTTGTTGTTCGTTTAGTTTTCATTTATTTTATTCAATGCACCTTCTACCACATCCAAAGGGCGATTACCTTAATGAAATCTCGGAGACACTAAGCATAGGCCTAAGAAATTCGTAAGGGCGGTGTCAGCAGTCTCATCAAAATGAGAACACGATATTTTCATTTCTGAAAAAATGACAACAGAGCCGGAGAACTGTTGGGCTCATTGTTAATCAGAAATGAAAAGCTTCTGCTGTTTTAAAGTCGCCCGGGTCACCCCAGGCAAATCACTATGTAAATCATTAAACTGCCAGAAAAGCAGGACTTTGACGGAAGCTGAAAAAACCAGTTTGACCGAAAGGGCAAGTTAAGGAAACACACCTATTACTTCCGACTATCAAGTGGCCCTGTGATAGCACGCCATTAAAAGACCCAATAAAATACAAATACGGCCTCTTTTTGGAGTCCTGAGCAGGGAAACACGAATAAATAAATAAAAAAAACACCTATGAAGTTAAACGCAGGGGCGGAAGCGTATGGTTACCCCTATTAGCTACCTGTCAGCCACAGCAGGTGTAACAGGTGAACCGCCAAGGTAAGCAGACGCCGTCTTTACAACCACGGTCATGCGCACAAAACAACCCCCCACCGGTACGTACCATTTTGTCAAGGCGTGGGGAGCCAAAACCTCGATTACAAGATTAGAAATATGCCCTTTAACCCTCACAAAGGGTCAAAAAGTCCAGCCATGTCTATCCTTCGTCAACTGCAGTCGGGGTGATAGAAAAGAAAAAGAAAAAAAGAAAAGTTTAACTCCGCCCTCTTCGGCACAGGACCGACTAGGCGTCATCAGAGCGAGCAGACATCTGGATTGGTCCTGGTAGGAATAGTGTAACAGGGCTCTCCCAGCCAGGGTCACGGTGTGTGACATGTAAATGAATGAACTGATGAGGCTTTAACTTTGTGACTTGACTGAGAGGGGGTGGGTGACTTGGTGTCGTTTGCGTGCAGAAACGGTAGGGAGCAGCAAGCCCTCCTCCAGCGGCCGCTTCATGTGATTCTGATCTGTCACTGTGGTTTAAAAGGGGCCTGGTTGTCTCACTTTTCTGGACTGTTGTTCACTTGCTATCATGTCTATGTACCGAAATGCCGTCTGGTTTTTGAATGGAATCCACCAGTATACAAGGTTAGTGTCATTTTAGTTTTTGCTCCTGCAGTTAAAACTGAATTGAATTAAGTAACCACTTTATTGTATATTGAATTTGACAGCAGTCTTTAGAATTTGATTTCATTAAACATAGATTTAACGTAATCACTCAAGTCTAATTGCGCATAACAGAGGCATGTCAAAGGTCTTATCGCGGTGTGACACACACCAGTTCACAAACTGGCCTTTATATACAATTACAATAGTTCTATTGACAGCTGTTGTGCTGTGAGAATGACAGTCACATCACCACTAGAGCCAAAAACTAATGTCAGTCTTTCAAATCTCTTTTATCGCAGCCCATAGTCCTCTTCTATCTTAAGTGTAATCTCTGATTAGTTTTTCTGTGTGTATTTAGGAAGGGTTACGATGCTGCGTCTATTGACTTTGAGCCCAACGACCTGGATGTGTCCGTCGTTGGACGATCTTTTATGATCACTGGAGCCAACAGTGGAATTGGCAAAGCAACAGCCATGGCTATAGCCAAAAAAGGTACATGGTGGAGTGTTGTATTCTCCATCCTTTCCTATACTGCATAATAAGCCCTGGTGTTTTCTTGGTAGGTGGCACAGTCCACATGGTGTGTAGGAACAAAGACAGAGCAGAGGAGGCCAGGTCTGAAATCATTTCTGAGTCCGGGAACACGGTAAGTACGTTGTGTGTCATGTGTTACTTTTTATAATAGACAGCAAAAAAAATAGGCAAATCCCATGCCATCTGTGAAAGAGAACAATATTTGTGTTATTCTAGGAGGTGTATATCCATGTTTTGGATATGTCCCAATCTCACAAAGTCTGGGAATTTGCAGAAAACTTCAAGAAGCAGTATCCATCACTGAATGTGTTGGTAGGTGTAAGCCCTTCTGTTCTTGGCCTGTAAAAGTCTCATTCCTAATCATAATCCCCCCCATGTTGTGGTAGATAAACAATGCAGGGTGCATGGTGCACAAGAGGGAGCTTAACGCAGAGGGCCTTGAGAAGAACTTTGCGACCAACACCATGGGTGAGGCCTGAGCCTGACGTTTAGACAGAATCACGATGATTAGTAGTTTTAAAAACGACGCTTTTGTTTTGGTTCTTTGCCTCCATCCCTTCAGGCGTTTATATCCTCACGCAGACTCTTATACCACTTCTGCAGAAGAGCCGTGATCCCAGAGTGGTATGAGCACACATAAATCTTCATTAGGATCATGAGGACAGCATAATGCCGCTGTTGTTCATGCTTCAGTGGCTGTTGTCTCGACACACTGCTGTAGCTGTTCTCCCTCTGCCCGTTAGATCACTGTGTCCTCAGGGGGCATGCTGGTCCAGAAGCTCAGAGTGGATGACTTGCAGTCAGAGAGCGGTTACTTTGATGGTCTCATGATCTATGCACAGAACAAGGTAGGATGAGAAGCTGTCCCACAGATGGCAAAATAGGAGGTTTTATCAGGGAGTGAGGACATATTATTTCTTTTCAGAGACAGCAGGTGGTGCTAACACAACAGTGGGCCGTAGACAACCCTGCCATTCACTTCTCAGTCATGCATCCAGGCTGGGCAGACACACCAGGTACTGTTTTAAAAAGGATAAAAGGACATCAGGAATAGGTAAAGTAAAGGTATTAAAATACAATGTTTATTATTATTAGAACTCATAAAATCATTTGTAAAATACACCACTTTTTGAGCCAACTGGTGCAGGAAAGAGTGAGATTTTTCTAATGAACTAAAAAGGAAATGGAAATGCTAACAGGATCTCTCTTGGATGAGCACATACAGTATGTGCACATCCCTTTTGTGCATTCACTTCATTACTGTTAGAAGATCCACTTAACCAGCAAGACAATTAGTAAAGATCAGTTTTCTTACACAATAACATCCTTTCCAAGAAAGCAGAATAGATCCATCACAACCACACAGACATCTAAAAACTTGTACCAACAAAAAAAAGAAGAAAAACAAGATGAAAATCCTAAGTGAACAGCATTTATCACAAAATATCATATCGTGTTAATGAAAACAATCAGGGTGGAGAGTCAAACTCATTTAAATTCTCTGTTACTGGTTTGTTTATTAAAGATTTTTTTAAGAGAAGGGAATAAGAGACAAGTTGTTTCAATTTATGTTGGTGATTTCACTCAAAAAAGTTACTGATTTATTACAGAGATCCCTAAAAAAACATGTAGAAATGTTCTTGTTACAGCTTAACCATTTCAGCACATTAGTGTGTGCTCTCCGTCGCAATGATGACAGTAACAGCTGTAAAATAATTTCCCTCTGGGATTATTAAAGTATTTCTGATTCTGATTCTGAAAGTAGAGATTTACCCTGCTGTGATTTTTGCACATCTGTACAGGATTAAATAGATAGAATATGGGGCCAATATTTTGTTTGTAGGCATGAAAATGAACCTGTACATTATGGCATTGGTATTTGTGTATTTGTATAACTGTACAAATTTTTTTTCACTTAGAACAAATATAAAAAGCGTAGTGAGGCAATGTGATGAATCTGTTGGTGGTGCAGCACTCACGGCTTTTCCTTGTGTCCAGCCGTTTCCACGTCGATGCCTCAGTTCCACCAGATGATGGGGGACCGGCTGCGCACCGTGGAACAAGGGGCCGACACTGTTGTGTGGTTAGCCCTGTCCCGGGCTGCGGCCAGAACCCGCAGCGGACAGTTCTTTCAGGGTGAGCTGAACGGGTGCTCTCTGGGGAGCGGAACCGCAGCTTCTTCTGATGATTCTGTTTCTGGTGTTGCAGATCGCAAGGTGGTTTCTGACCACCTCCCTCTGGCCTGGACCCGCAGCTCTGCTGAAGAGATTCAAGCTTTTATAAGTCAGCTGGAAACTCTGGCCAAAGCTGTTCAGTCACAGGGTGATGTGGATGTCAATGGACCTCTGGTCCCTCCGCGGCCATCCTTTGTCTAGATTCTGTTACACCACGTGCCTCTAACTAAACAAAAAGTGTTAAGAACGTGCCTGTTCAGTCTTGTGCACCTCCTAACTCAGTGCATTTTACAGATGGCTGTGTATTAAAAGATGTTGCATGATCTGACTTGTGCCACTAGCACCCTTTTTTCTGAATCTCAGATTTTTTCTTTTAACAAAAAACAAGCCACTGATTTCAGTTGAAAATTTCCAAAGCAGTTTACCTGAGGGCCTGTCAGATACGCCCGTTGTGTCACAGACAGAACAGCATTCTTGGGATTCGGCTCATGGCTCTTGGCCCACATCTGGAAAATTGCTTAAGGTCTCCTTTGGAATCTCCTTCCGACCATGCGAAAATGTAACTTCCCCTCCAGGCTTTTGTTTGTTTGTTTTTTAACCAGCTTGTCGACATTTTTGTATGTCGGAAAAAAGAAAACTGACAGAAACTAAAGGAAACCTGGCATATGAAGACAGTAAGGAAATACAAGCACGATTTCTTACCAATGTTTGGCTTACAGGCATTCCAAGAGTTTCTTCAGTTGAAGGAATTTTAAGACGATCTTAAATATTAATGGAGTTTCCACTTTTTTTTAAATGTTAAGGTGACAAAAAAACATCGCAGATATCAGGTGAGACCCTCAAATAATACCCCTTTTACAAAGACATTACATCTCAATGACCACAAACTTTTATAAGTCAGCTGGAATCTCTGGCCAAAACTGTTCAGTCACAGGGTGATGTGGATGCCAATGGCCCTCCGGCGAGCCTTCTGTTACACCATGCGCCACTATCTAAAAAAGTGTTAAGAACGTGCCCGTTCAGTCTTTACCTATGGCCACATTTCAAAAGCAAAGTGATGTTTTTATATTTGTTTGTGGAAATTTCCATTCTGACCATGAGATGGCTGTAAAAGATGAGCAATGCAATTCTATGACAAACTAGAGCAAACAATACTCATCTTTATTTTGTAACAATCCACATTTGCTGTTTTTTTAAATTATTTTATTATTTTTATACAGTATTGAAACCAAAAAATAATAATAATGTGGTGCATTCACATTTTCCCAAGGGATTCTTAGCAAGTTTGATCTCTACAAGGGTAAAACAGTGAAAAGCTGGACTCATCCATGTTAAAACTCACAGGGAAAAGAAAGACTGGGCCTGATTAATGCAACCTAGAAGATCTGTTGGATATTTTCATATGCGTCAAAAGCTTTCCTTCCAATTTATTAGGATTTACTGTGTTTTTTGCGAGGGACAATTGAAACAGGTTCCCAGTGTTTGTCTTTAAAGAAAACTTCCAGTCCATGCGCAACAACAGTCCAAAGAAAAACAATTCCCATTCCCCCCTCCAGTCTCTTTTCCTCTCGCCCAGAGTTCATTGTCTATGCGACATAAGTGTACACTTTACGATCCTCTGGCGTCCTCGCCAAGTATTCTCTTTCTATAAGTCCTTCTATGCGCTTTTTGATCACCACAGGGCTGGGAAGAAAGCGTGCCCGGAGCTGCTGAGTCACCTGATGACACAAAGTCACACAAATGACGGAAACCCATTAAAAAAAATGTTTTGCTCTTTATATGGCATTTATCACTGAGATTCTAAGTATAAAAGAAATACAATGGCTTAATATTAAATAATGTATAGAGAGGTTGCTTACTTCTGCTACCAAAACATTGTGCTGCATCTTCTTCCTGGACTTCATGATTCGCACAATGGCCGCCTCAATCTCGTGCTTCCTGTCATCGTCCACTTTCTGCCGCGTCTCCTTCCTTTCAGGATCTGATTCCCCTTGTTTGGCAGCAACTTTTACAGGTGGATAAGATAATATTAACCAGAGAAATGTAAAAAAATTACAAATAAATCAACTCTCAAAGCACTGTTAAGTGAAACAAAGGAAAACACCAGCTCCATCTAATGGTCAGTTTCTGTACTGCACTTTGCTCACCTGTCTGTATTTTAACTCTGTGCAGCTTGGAAGTAAACTGATCATTGACCGTAAACACATGCCCATTCTCAATCTCCTTGGACTTGGGCTCCTTTGTGAGGACTCGCTGTGTGGGTTTCCCACAAGCCAAAGACTGCAGCGCTCGCACCAGCTCTCTCTCTGGAATATCCGTCTCCTGCTGAATCTCCTACAAAAAGACAAAGGAACATTTGTTTTAGTTTTTTAAAAAAAGGTACAAATGAGGAAAATGCATGTCCAATTTTGTTCAACTCTTTAAGTGAAAGAACAAAAAGGGCAGCGCCGTGTTCCCACCTCAAAGGTGAACTTTTCTCTGTTGTTAAAGAGCATGAGGATGGTCATCTGGAAGGTGGAGACCTGCAGGATGTGCTTTCGGGTGTTGGTACCCGTCACCTGGGCTCCTCCTACTCCCACCTCTGAACCATCCTCCTGCAGAAGAGGGAGATGGAAACAGGGACTCTGGATTATTACACCAGCATTAAGGGGGGGGGGGAAAGATATCTAACTGGCACAGTAAAGACGCATCAGCTAAGATCCTAAGTCCACCTTTTTAACCGCTCCGTAGAAAGTTGCATTTAAGTCGGCCCCGCCCATGTGGTGCTGCAGTGTGAGCTGTCTGCCACTGTGCTTGGCAAGGTAAAACCTGGCAGACAAACACCGTCAGGAAACTGTACAAACGGGATGTTTTGCGCTGTTTTACAAAGTAAATCTGCATGCATTACCTTCTGAAAACTTCAAAGGCATGTCTAGGGGCGGGGGGGATGGTGCATTTGGGGGTTGCAGACTGTGTAGGCCAGTATCCGGTTGTGAGGACTCTTACTGTGAGGTCCACACCGCTTAAAGATGCCTGGAAATGACATTAAACATACAAGTTACACTCATTCACATGTACTTATGAAGATGACGCAAACACCACAGATTATGCATTCTAAAATCTGTCATTCATGGGCTTTTGGTAACAGGACATACCATTTATTCTAAATTGCTTCACCTTTCTATGAAATCTTTCTATTAAAATATAGGAACTGATCCAACAGGTGATTTTATCTTGAGTCAGAAGAGTTCTTTTTTTTTTTTATTACATTTTTTGTAATCTAAGTGACTGTATTTACAAATAAAGTGTACATATGCATGTTTTTTCATTCAAATGTTTTATCTTAGAGGGTTTTATGCTCTGAACTACCAGAGCAGAATTGGCCAGTTTGGTTTGTCCAGACCGCCTTACCGATGTGGTTTGTATGTGCTGCCTGAACTCATCCATGGTAGTGTTGGAGATGCTCATGTCTCTGAACATCCCTTCCAGTTTGGAGGTGAACTGACAGCCACATTCTGTCTGCAGGGATGAAAGGAAAAGAGCCATGACTCAAAGAATAGAAAAGAAAAAAAGTATAAAACACAAACACAAGATGAAAGATATATCTAAACTGACGGAGACACATGCATACGGCTGTGTCCAAAACTGGTTGGAGCCTTTTACCTTTAGTTTAGAAATCATGTTCTTTTCGGAGTCGTCTGAGACACTCTTGTTGCTGAGAAGTCGACGGCCGAGATGCTGCTTGTAGTACCTTTCAAAAACATCCTTCTCCTGCATGAACCTGAATAACACCATGGCCTTGTCCAGAATGGACTCCACTTCCTGTTCAGTCAGCTGCTCAGACAAGGCAAAAGGAGAGTAAAATAAACAATGGAGGCATTTTTTTAAATTCAAATATATTTCAGACAACAAAAAAAACAGGTTTATAAAAAGATGCATACCCCTTTTACTCCCTTCTTTAGCTTATCATCAATAAAGAGTGATAGGTACTCGGGTGAACGGGAGTTGAGATTAAGGAAATATTCAAAGTCTCCAGCAATGGTTTGTTTAAAGAGTCTGTCATTGTTGAATGACTCCAGGAGGAAATGATCAAATCTAGTCTTCAAGTCCAGCAGACCCTGTTGACACAACATACGCAAAAAGACAGATCCGTCAATTTAAAGCCTGCCTCCACGCATGTTTAGGTCTTTAAACGTTAAGCTGCGTTTCCCAACAGGTGTTCGGTCAATGCACCTGGATGTAGTCGACTGGGTTCTTGCCCTCGCCCTCTTCGGACACCAGAGCCTTGCCTTGTTCCCTCAGGTAGGAGCTCATACACTCGCACATTGTTTTCAGGCCGTTTGGCACTCGACTGAAGAGCTTGTACATGCATGCAAGGTCTGGAGAACAATATTAGAATATTCACACAATTTGTTAAAAGATTTGTTTTTTCCCCCCCTTAATTGAAAAATTTATAGATGAGGAAACTGTTAAAAGGACGTTTGGTTTTACCTTCTGTTTTGCCATTCTTGAGCATATGGACCAGGCCGGAGTTCTCCATCTCAACAATGGTTTTCATGTGTTTAGAAATTAACTCCCTTTCCACTACCTTGACAATGGGCTCCTCTGTAGACTTGTCCAGACAGTGCATTACTCGCTCAATCTCTTCATTGATTCTGGCCTCTACCTTCTTTATGTAGACACTGGCACTGTTTTCTGCAAGAAACTTTTGGCTTTCCATCTAAAAAAGGTCAAATGTTGTGCTTTTGCGTTACTGCAATGACTTTCAGAGATGAGAAGAAAAGACGGGGGGAAAAAAAAGGGATGCAAAGCATCACTCATAAACTCACCTGAAAGAATTCAGCTGACATGTCTAAGAATGGGCCTTCAAAGTCCTCCTCATATACAGATCTGCCATCCAGGCCAAGAATCATCAGCATCTGGCAGGCATTTCTGATGGCACCTCTGCAGTTACAGAAGTTAAACACAAATGTGAAACTTTCATCCAAGATACCCAAGATCAATCCGAAACATGGGGTAATTTAAGTAAACCTGCAGGGGATGGAGCCTTCAGGAGAAGAAACAACGGGCAGGTGTCCACATACCTGTCCACAACCTCTCCCTTCCTCTCCCGCGCGATCATGTCCAGCAAAGTCTGCCGTAGGTGGTCTCGGATGCAGCCGTAACGAACTACCTGGTCCCTGAAAATGATCAGGCCGAGGTTGTAGACATTCTCTACATTGTTTTGCTGTACGTACACCCTGTCCTGAAAGAGAGGAGAATGAGGGGAATGTTGACTGGTTTCACACAGACAGGAAGACCTTAAAAAGCAAAACAATTATGCTACATTAAGCTGACTGGGGATTTCCCATGCTAGGGAAAAGGAATTCTGTTCTTAGACGGATCCAAAGCAAACCAGTCTTTAACCTAGCTTAATTTAGCACTCAGAAGTTTAGAATGAAGGTTACATCTGAGGCTGAGACTGGAAACAGTTACATGGGATGCACACAACGCCATTATTAATTACAGAGTCACACATTTGAATCCAGACATATTTGCGGTGTGAGACCAAAAGCTTGATTCACCAAATAATGGCTGATGGTTTCTGTTCAAAATACCAGAAAGACTTAGCTCTATGGATACTTTTTTTTTCATAAAGTTGCTTCAAAAAATACAACTATTAACAGATGGGCTTATGTCACTACTCCAGCCACTTGTAACTGAGATGTGTATAAGCAGCCATGGTTGCTCTCCTTTGTTTGTTTTCTTTAAATACACCAAAGCAGAAATCCCTCTGCAACTCTGACACACAATCACAGTGAGCAGGTCACACAATAGTTTGTTGATTTCATGATAACAGCGGGTTATCGTACTCCACCTAGAGCTGCTCTATGTCATCGTGTCACAATCCGTGTGACGAGTTTGACTGGCTGTTCTATTAACAGTTATGTCTTTTTGGCCGTGGCGGTGCTTTTCCAGATGCTCATCTCAAATCTTATCCAGATGAGGTTAGGGCTCAATCTGAGGCAGCCTCGCTAAGGCTGAACACTTCATGATAGCGCAGGCTGCTGGAGACTATGCAGCTGCTGGCCAAACAATAGAAGCCACCTATCGGGGGTAAAGCAGGACCGGAAAGAGAAGAGAGCTGAGCTAAAGAACCCCAGCAGAGCTCTGTAGTCTGAGCAATGACTGTGCCATTGTTTAGCCTGGGTTAGCGCTTATGTGAAGGGCTCAATCACTCACACAGAGCCAGACACACTTTGTACTTAGTGTTGGCAGAGGTATAACTAGTCCTGCCAGTTTTCCTGCCAAACAAACAAACATGCTAACAAAGCCTTATTGTTGGGTCCCAAAATAAAAAGGAACATTACAATGAAAGATCGTAAGAAAGGGTTGGCTTATGGGCACCCAACTCTTGATGACACTGAAGAACAGTTAATTTACGAAGCAAAGAAATAAGAAAAAAAAAAGCTGACATCTTTTAATCTATTACCACTGATCAAAATGATTGTCGAGTTATTCAATAATCTACTGACATTGAAAAACTTTTCTACTCAACTTATTTCCTCAAACTGAGCGAGACTATACTCACAACAGGATACCTACCATATACATGAGGATGTCTCTGATCATAACCATGGCGGTTTGATGGTCATTCCAGGCCTGATTCAGTGTTTGCAGAAAATTATTATTTAAGGAATTTAGAACGTCTTCCCGTACCTGAAAATATGAAGTCATCAGGTTACCTTTCGTTCAAATTTGAAACATCAGCCCTTAAATATGACACTGTTCACTCACTGGTTTTAAGCAAGTAACAAAATGTGTTTAAGAGCAGTATTTGGGTAAGAAAACTAGTTACTTTGTTGATGAGGTGTTCAGTGACAACCTCCCTCAAGCCTGTGTAGAGCTTCTCTCCATGTTTGTGGAGCACCATGGTGTAGGCATTTCGGTACAGCTCCTCAAAGCTCAGCCCACTGTTGTTCTTCCTCTGAATCTCCTGGATAGCATTCTTCAGAAGGTCCCAGATGTTATTCACATATTTTTCATCCATTGTCATCTGGGGAGGCAGAAGCATGAGAAAAAGTGTTTCTGCACTGCTAAAGAGGATCGAGACGGCAACATCAATGATGATTTTTAAAGATGGAACTGTAAATACTAGTGTTAACAGTTTTTTGGCATTAGAGGCTACAATCACATTTTCTATTTCCCCCCACATTAAGTAACCAGTTCCTGTCTTAAGGTGTGAACAGGGAATCTAAATCATTTGCATCATGTGTAATGCAGCACTGTTGCAGCCATTCATGCATCATAATTCTCTTGTTAACACAGCATAGCTGAAATGCGACTGCATATTAACAATCAGCTGCTCTGTTCCTTTTGTGATTGAATAAATCTAAATATTATAATCATAAATATCAAAAGACAATCATTGTGAGTTATAAGATTTCTGTCAGCCACATAGGATAAACTGAGCCACACAGAACCAGCCACGTGGTGAGGAGACATGTGAACAAAACAGATCACAGTGCTGTTTAGTTTCAGAGGAATAGCCAAGTGCAACATGCTTTATGTTAAGTAGCTGTAGTTGTACACAGTGATTGTACAAATGAAAACATATAAAGGCCACATAGCTTTTTCAGTCTCATGCCAGTTGTTATAACTACTATCAACTATTTAAAGTAAACAAAAATCTAAGACCTCTGCTATGAGATGTCGCTGATATGAATTTTTTATTGCTTCTAAAGGCATTAACATCTTTCTGAACACTATAGCTGATTGAAAGAGATATTCTCCACAGCCAAAGTTTGCCAACACTTCAAGGTAACTAGATCAACAGTTACACAAAAGAAATTGAACCTTTGTCAGTCAATCATATCAAATGGTGTAACATTCAGGCATTATATTCAAAAATTGCATTTTAATAATGATTTAAAAAGCCACAAAAGTCAGTATATCAATTTCCAAACTAACAAAACTCACAACCAGAGTAAGATCAGGTTATTTCCTTACTGCACTATTGATAAAAATATATTTATAATAAAAAAGGGACTTTGTACAAAGTCATAGGGCCACATGGGCATATTTAGGATGAAAGGAAGATGCAATTTGCATACAAAATGTCCACTGGTCAGCACATTCCATAAAAAGTATCCTCTTGAGTAAAAACCACATATCTATATAATTTTCCAAGATACATAATGGGTATTTTTCAAGCCATATTGGAAAAAGATACTTTAAATGGCTCGATTTATATACAATTCCATAGTAAAATTGATGATATTGTACAGTTGTCTAACTGCAAACTACTTTGTACTTGAATTAAATCTAAGCTCAACTATCAACTCAACCATCCACTCTGACTCACTGAAACATACACCCACACATCAACCTGAACATCAAAATGGTGAAAGTGTTTTCTCAAACAGGGCAGACACAAAGGCTTGGCAAAACGCATAAATCCCACTTTCATACTCCGAGACGAGAGGTTCGCTGTAACGGTTTAAGTGTACCACAACACAATAACCAACCCAAAAAAATAATAAATAAATAACCAACGAAAATGCTGTGCCACGGTGGGACCGGCTGAAAGTTATCCTAAACGGCAACATCAACGTATACGGTTCAATTAACTTTAGGCGTGTTTCCTGAAGTCTCACCCTGAATGAAGATGCTCCAACTGCCAGTCCAGTTCTTAATGACAAAGCATTTCCTTTCCTTTCCTTTCCAAAGCGTGACATACATGTATAAAGTATTTATTCGCAAAATGCCAGACGTGTTTGCAGTTACCACAACGCCATGTACTTGCCAACCAACACTTAGCAAACGTCAAGCAGGCTAACAGGCCCGCTACCTAGCTTGCTCACAAACAGCGACTGCTGCGTTGAAGAAGTTTTACGTGTGCTAACATTAGCCCGTGACGAACGGTGTTGCTTTCAAATCAGTGATCAAGCAAACATAGAATAAACGTGAGTCGTACTAAAGTTGGTATTCTCTAGATAAATTGCCCACTTGCATTTTCCTCTTGACAATGACGTTTTTTCTAGCTTGAGCAGCTAGTTAGGTGACAGCTGTTAGCATCACTGTCATCACAGCACTCGATTCTCAAACTTAGCGTTCAGTTATATATAAAACCAGTAAATACTTACTGGGAAGGCTCGTATCCTCATCTTGGTGTCCTTCTTGGTGCCGCCTTTAAGGTTGGACATGATTAGTTAGAACGACTTTCGTTACTATGTTGACGTAAAGACTACATGAAAGGCAGCTACTAGTTTGGTTTCTGCGCAAGGAAAGCGTCAGAAAAACTCAGTGACCTTCCGTAAAGGAATCAGGCCAGTTTTGTGCGTTGGTAATAATGTTCTTAATCGTTCTCCAGAGTGGTTTTTGGCTAATGTTAGCTTATGCAGTGATGGCGGACGACTGTTCTCCACTGCGCAATCCGGACATCTCGCGAGAGTAATAAACTCACAAGACCGACAGGTGCATTCTACAGGTTGATATAAACCCTTTGCCCCTCTCGTACTGCACATCTGATTTCTATTGCTGTAAGTATTTGTTAGTAGTTTCCACGATTTTTTACTTTGCAAGAAAACTTATACGTAAAAAACTACCATAAATACTGGGCGGTTAAATATTGTGTTTTTCATGTTGATTTTCAGTGTAGCTAGTTTCCATCTCACTGCAAGAGAGCCGACATATTAAAACCACAGGGTAAGTGCATCATTTTCCACACAAACAACAATTTTCCTTTGCACAATTGCATTCTTTGAGATTGGCTCCAGCTATCTTTTGCAGATGCTCTGCATCTCCAGCTTTCTTATTTCCAGTTGTATTGCATCGATTTCCTGTATAATCCTGTGGCTGCTGATGGCCTGGCCGTCAGATATGTTCAATATCTAAATCTATTTATTTATTCATGGACCAAATATAAGCACTGCAATGTGTGAATATATTCACCAACAGAGCCAGCTCTTTTAGCTGCAGTTAAGCTTGCAACAAATTGAATATATGTGTATGTCAAAGTGACTGCTGCCTATGTCTGTCCATAAGAATTATTTATATGAAATTATTTTCAAGAAACAAAAACACCATAAATAACAGTAGCTGAGCAGAATGTGAGAGCTCTGCTGCTCTCTAGTGCCTAATAGATGAAGCATCACGCTTACAGATTAATCTACTGTTAAACAGGGATAACATTTTGTGAACATTAACGGCACCTTTGATTACAGCTGATTAAGATTCCCTTAAAAATGTTGTCACTGATTGTTGAATACCAACTGAAACCAAAAACAATTAGTATAATGCCACATTCAAATATAAAGGCCAAAATAGTGCTTGCGCAACTAAATGGTTTTTAAATTTACATTTAACTGAACAAATTAAATAGTGTGGGCACATTGCATGCTGTTATGCTTAATCATATCTTTACAGTAAGCTTAGCACTTCCATATCGACTGTTTTTAGATATGGTTTTTGCCATAGAAATTTTCTGGCTATTATTGACCCTTGCTCGGCGAAAGTTTTAATAGTTCTCCGTTGAACACATTAAACAGCCATATGTATCACCATATCAGGTTGCTGGTGTATTTGTGCCGTGTTTTGACACCACATAACATACTCCAAGTTCCTCCCATTCCACAGAGTGGTGTGTAAGCTGTTTCTCTGCAGATAGCAAACATCTCTGCAAATGATAGATAAACTCCACATGCTACTGTTGAGATTCTGACAGCGTATGACAGGAGCACATTGTGACTAGGGGGAAGTCTGGACTCGGTTCAGTGGGTGATATTTATGTTCAGTTGTGTTGAATTGACTGTGATCATTTACATTCTCTTTGTTGCACAGCAAACTATAAGTACGTACTCCAATATATAAACATGATTAAATGAAGACTTAAAAATAACATTTACTATTTTTTTGCCAGTTGCCTTATTCAGAATATCCAGCAGGTGGCGTATGCTATGCTCTGACCTTAACTAAATTAGGCCTAATGTATTCAAGTCTTTCCATCTGCGAGCACATGACATCCTCCATCAGCAGCATAAGCCCAAAGGACCACAGTATAAAGTGGTGCGTTTCAAGGCAGAGGTAATTGATTTTTGTGCAGGTGATTACAGAAGCAGAATTTAATACACAGCTTTAGTTTCAGCTCCTTTTTTTATTACTGCTACTTGCTTTGCAAACATGACACCGACAGGTCAGGGCAAATGCAGCTCCCTGCAGAATCCCGCACTCATCATTTTAGCCAGGCTGCGGTTGACCTGGCACCAGCCCAACAAAACAGGACAAGTAATTTAATTTGCCACCACCGCCAACCTTGAAGCAAGGAATGTAGGCTACTTGAATCCCAATGGGGAGGTTGGAAGAAAATGTCCTGGGAGCTGAAAGAGGGATCAGGCTGTTCTGCTGGTAGCATCGCATGCAGTTTCCTCACCTCCGATAGAACTCCTTCGTCCTTCAGGTTTACGTGCGCAGATTGTTGTTTTAAAGGCAATTAGATATTATCCATGAAATGTAATATGACATCATTGCCTTTAATTCAGATGAGTTAGTTACTGTGACATAATCAGTGCTATCAATACATTTCCTATTTCGAACAATCTTCTGGGTATAAAATCCCATTTTCTAAAAATTATCTCATTTTATTCACATAGAAACAACTGCAGCAGTACACACCATTTGCATATTTCATGGTAAGTTGTATGTCACCTAAGTTAAAAGGGTAGTATATTATCTCTAGGTACATGAAATTAAAGGCAACAACAGCAGGAACAGACATATTTTTTATGGTATTTTCTTAAATTTACACGTCTGATGAAATGTGAGAAAATAAGTGACACTGATGCAGATGGTAGATCTCACATCTCAAGTAGTTTGTTTCAACTGACCCTGCATTAAAAAACGAGACATAAACCGGTCTCTCCAAAACAGCTTTGTCATAGCATGACTATGCAGCTATTTTGTTAGTGGGACTTGTCACCATTGGTAAAATGATAACTCTACACACAAAGTGGTAAAATAAATTCTAAATTCATTTAAGGAACACACAGGTGTTGTGTTACTTCATAATGCATTAGTAATGTCTTGTCAGCAGACACATTCGCAGTCCAATCTCTCATCACCCACAGGGAGCAAATGTACAAATGTCCTCCTCTAGCCATGTGATGTGATACGATGTGGCTCAATCGTAATTGCAGCCATAACTTGGTGCCATATCGAGGTGTCATCTTAAATCACCCTGGTGAAAATATCTTGGGTCACAGTTCAGTATTGGTCGTAAAATCTAAATATAATGTCTCGGAAACCAAGTTGTTTCATAAAGCACAAGAGTAGCTGTATGGAAAAAACACACACATGGATAGCCAGGCTGTAAATTTGAATGCATACATGCTTTCATCTTAAAGTAGGATTGCTGTGAAATGGGAATCATTTTCAATAAGCTATCTGAACAATCCTTGCACTTTGTTTTTAGCATTCAATCAGTGTTTCAAGCAGAGATGTGTTAGACTTCCAGCCCTTTTGGCACAGTCTGTAATGACATAGCTCATAGCCACACTTTCATTTAACAGCCTGCATTACGGCTTGGTAATAATAGGCTTGTTTCTCTTTTCTTCTTTATTCTATCTCTCTCGCTTTCTTTTTGAAAATGTCCAGCCCACAGCCTCTCTTCCCATCTGTTTATCTTCATCTGAGCTGGGCCTATCCAGTGCCGTGCAAGACCCGCTACTGGAGAAAGTGTTTGTTGACTTTTCGGAACAGAGTTCTGCTCTCTGGGGGAGCAGTCTGTTATTTATGGCTCAAGGCCTGATGTGATTGGCTTAGAAGGTATATAATTATCTGTGGCACGTTTTAGAATAACAGTAGATTCAATGTTGAGTTGAGTGGGAGGTTATTGACATAGTGTGTATTAGTCTGATGGTCACATGTTTTTAGGTGCTTACCATCAACCCAGTGATGAAACTTTTATATTTCCGATAATGTCATCATTAATTGCCAACTCAAATACATGTGTCTACATCTGCCTGATGTCATGCCAATATATAATTACTATTGTTTTGTTTTTTTATTTTGGAAATTGTCACTTATTCTTAACCATGCAATTTAACTTAGACTTTGGTTCTGCCTATGGTAGACAGAGAGAACAAAATTCTGATTACACAAAAGCTGGCTGTGGTTAGATTCTTTCCAAAGCTAACTACTGATCTAGCTAACTTCTCCAACTCCTTAGCTGAAACATGGTATGGTGGTTACCACTGTTGTGTAGGGAGAGGTTTCCTGGTTCGGTTGGTTTATGTACATAAACCACATCACTCTGGCTTTTGCCAATTGCCCTGATTGGTTTGTTCTATTGTCCAAAATGTGCACGTTATATTAAGTTGGTAATTACACATCTTATTTGATTGCCAGCATGAATGAACCTACCTCAAGGCAAATGGACTGAGAAGTTCCAGGGCAGGCAAAATGACTGAACACAAAGGAAATAGCTAAATAGTAGTCTAAAGAGGGACTTGAACGTTGAGTGGTTTTACTGTTTAGGACTGTCTCCTCACAGCAAAAAGGTCATTGGTTTCTGCTGGGGCCTCTCAGTGTACCTGACCTGTCGCCATGCGTGGGTAGTTACTCTCTACGTCATCTGACTTCCTTAACAGCTTAACAGGTGATTATAAATGTACCCTAAGAGTACTTGGTGTGGGTGGGAATGTTAGATGCATGAATAAAGATACATTAGTTCTGTGGTCATTTTGAAGCACAATTTCAAAATGATCATTTTGGCTATTGATAATTTTTTCTGAAAACGTTTTAGTTAATTTTTAATTTAGTTTATTAATAAAATTATGTTGTGTTGATTGTGTATCATTCTTCATTCAAAAAAGAGTCAGATTATAAGAGAAATTACAAAGTGGATAAAAAATCTTCAGTAGCCTGTACTTCGTACAGGTTAGTATGCTAATGTCAGATATGGTAGATGGGTAATAATGAAGTCCCATAAACTGTACTGTCCCTGAATGGATTGATTTATGCATAATCAAAAAGTGTTATCACTGAATGTGACACCAGATGTGCAGTCTCCTTCATAAAGCTAGTTATTGGTTATTACACCCGCCTCTGTGTCCTCATTAGGCAGAATTGTTGGACAGGGACCTTGATGGACTAACAGGATTATGTCACTTCAATTATGTCATCTGGGTTTGCTGGGTTATGCAGCAGAAATGACAGAGACGTATTTATGTACTCTCCTTTGGTGGTGGGAGCTGAAAATGATACTTTTGCACACCACCATAGCTAATCCTATTTTGTATTCTGTACCATGACTTATGTGATCACTGTCTTCAATAATGCATGCACAGTCATATCACAAGTAGAAACCATTGGGATGTAAGGGGAATTTAGGCTCAATAACTAATCCTCATCTAATCCAGTTATTTTGAATACATTTTCTGGTACAATTAAGA